ATCCTCACTCCATCACCTAACCCAATGTCTAGAAATCTTCTTGACCGGCCTCCCTCTAGATTCAGAAACTGAGTTTTTAACTATTAATCTTTGTTTTTGCTTTCATAGAAACTTTTGCCATTACATGCTTGACTTCTAGCACCACCAAGCAAATAACCTCTACCACCAAGTCCCAACAGATGATTCAGCTAGTCCATAATGAACAAAAAGTGACCAAATAAGAAATGGACTTATTTGTTCAAAAGAAAGAACATCACTTCTTTCTTTGAACATGATAGGGGGTTGATAAAGATTCTTTGCTTGACCAAACTTTTAGGTTCTTGAAACTTCTCCTAAGTCCATCTGGGCACTTCCTTTTAAAATCCAGGTTTAGTAAGAACCCTGATAAGTCAATTTAGCAACAGTGCCCCATTCTCCATGATTGATCTTCCTTCCCCCAGGTGATAGCTAATCACGCTTAAAAAAAAAAAAGATATTTATTTATTTATTTATTTATTTATTTATTTATTTATTTGACACAGAGACAGAGAGAGCACAGCAGAAGGAGTGGGAGAGGGAGAAGCAGGCTCCTACTGAGCAAGGAGCCTGACACAGGGCTAAATCCTAGGATCCTGGGATCACAACCTAAGCCAAAGACATTCACTTAACTGAGCCACACAGGTATCCTATAGATGATCACTCTTGCCTATCATTGGCAAAGATCCTATTAGAGCAGTTCAGCAAGAATCTCCCTTTCACCCCCAATGTTGCCTCTTAGTAATTTTTCATTGACCATCAACCTACTCTTTGGCTACAAATTTCTACTTCCCCATGGTGTATTAGGAATTGACACAGTTTTATACTGAGGTCTCCTTTTTCCTACTGCAATGGATTTAAATAAAAACTGTTTTTACACTTGACTGCCCAGCTCTGACTTTTCTTTGATAACTGTTTGATTGCAACTTTGTGAAAGACCATGAACTAGAGGACCTAGCTAAGCCTTCTTTTTGGATTTCTGACTCACAGATACTGTGAAATAATACATGTTTGTTGTCTAAGCCCCTAAGTTTTGGAGTAATTTATTACATACCAAAAGATAACACAGGGGCACCTGGGTGGCTCAGTGGTTTAAAGCCTGCCTTCAGCTCAGGTCATGGTCCCAGGGTCCTGGGATCGAGCCCCACATCGGGCTCTCTGTTCACCAGGGAGCCTGCTTCCCTTCCTCTCTCTCTGCCTGCCTCTCTGCCTACCTGTGATCTCTGTCAAATAAATAAATAAAATATTAAAAAAAAAAGATAACACAGCACTTTTTGTTCTTCATTCATTTTTTAACCAGATGACTTTTAAGAAACAAGGGAGGGAGAAAAGTGTTGAAAGCAAAGAGAATAAATTATGCAAATCATGAAGGTGACAGAAAACAGTGTGTTCCATGAACTTCAGGAAGTTCAGTGTAGCTAAAGCATAAATATATGTTTGTGTGTGTGTGCATGCACTTGCGCTTATGAAGTCATGTGTGATGAATGGGTCGGGGGGAAGGCTAATTAAAAATGAAGCTGGCATCTCAAGAAAAAACCAGATCTGACACAACCTTAACCCATTATTAGGAAACTATACTTCAACCAAAGAATAATGGGAACCATTAAAGATTTTAGGGTAAGAAGGTTAACATGAACAGATTTCAATATGAAAGATGACTAGACATCAACATGGAGACTAGATTAAAGACAGTAAATTCTGGACAAAAGGACAGCAATTAGAATCCTGGTGGCATCTGGGACCAGTGAAACTGAAAAAAATGGGCAAAATTTTATGGCTAATAATTGGATTGAGGAAAAAAAACAAAAGAGACAAAAATGATTCCCAAGATTTTAGTTTCACCAATCAGGTATATGAGAATGCCAGGAAATTGTGACTACTAGAAGAAACAGTCTAAAAAGAAAGCAATTAGTTCATTTTAGGACATGATGAATTCTAGATGCTGTGGACCATTCTAGTAAGTAAATTCAGTTGTTTGAAAGATAATAGGTCTGGAAATTAGGTGATATCTGGGTTAGAGATATAAGATTAATTTGGCACTGAAAGCCATAAAGGTACATAAGCATGCTCCAAAAGAGAAAACTCAGAGAAACACCAACAGTTAAAGAATGGACAGCACAAGAGAAGACCAAAACACAGTACCAGAAAAATATATAGGGAACAAAATAATTATTCTGTCTCTAAATCAAAATGCAGACTACATTAAAAAGAAATAAATGGTCAGGGGGAGCCTGGGGGGCTCAGTGGGTTAAGCCTCTGCCTTTGGCTCAGGTCATGATCCCAGGGTCCTGGGATCAAGCTATACATCAGGCTCCTTGCTCCCCAAAGAACTTGCTTCTCCCTCTCCCTTTGCCTGCCACTCCACCTGTTTGTGCTTGCTCTCTCTGTCAAATAAGTAATAAACAAATAAAGAAAAGAAAAGAAAAAGAAAAAAGAAAGGAAAAAGGAAAAGAAAAGAAAGAAAAGAAAAAGAAAAAGAAATGGTTGCGGTGTCTGGGTGGCTCAGTCAGTTAAGCATCTGCATAGGTCATGATCCCGGGGTCCTGGGATTGAGTCCCACATTAGGCTCCCTGCTCAGTGAGGAGTCTGCTTCTCCTTCTCCACCTGCCCCTTCTCCTGCTTCTGCTCTCTTTCTCTCTCTCTCTCAAATAAATAAATAAATTCTTTAAAAAAAAAAGAAATCATCAAACATGATCAAATACTACTAAGAGGATAAGTGGGATAAGAGTATAAAGCATCCTTCAGAATAAGATCAAGTAGATTTGTTGTGACCTTGGCAAAAATAGTTTTAATATAGTGGTTGGGGAAAAGAGATTACAGTTAAATGAAGAATTACAATAAGAACATGGAGACGGTGAGTATGAACAACTTCTAGTCCATCAAAAACTTCAGTAATGATTTCTGTTTCATTATCGCCAGAGCAGGCCAATCTAAATAAGTGATATTATATAGCCCATCCATGCAAAGCACCTAGTAATTAATAAGGATTGTTAAACTGAATAAATAAGAGAGATGTGTGTTAATCCATTTATAAAACCACTAAAACCAAAAATAATTTGCCCAGGTTGAAGATGACAAAGTTACCTGGTAAAATGCTTTGGGTAATGAAGTTGCTCTTTCAAATTCATCTTACTATTTATTTTTTTAAAGATTATTTATTATTTATTTGGCAGCGAGAGAGAGAGAGGTAGGCAGAAGGAAAGGGGGAAGCAGGCTCCCCACTGTGCAGAGCGCCAGATATGGAACTCGATCCCAGGATCCCAAGATCATGACCCAAGCTAAAGGCAGAGGCTTAACACACTGAGCCATCCAGGCACCCCCAAATTCATCTTACTTTTTAACTTAATGTTTTCTATTTAACTTGTCATATATAACAGCCTTATTTTGGATTTAGGGGAAAAATCCCGGGAAACAAAAAAACACTAAGCCTATTTAACAAAGTTAGGTTTTAAATGCAGCCACACAGAAAAGCAAGGAAGATATCTTGACATGATTTTGAAGCCAGAAAGACCTCAGTCTGAAGTCTAATTCAACATTACTATGATGTTGCATAGTTAATTTTTTAGGCTCCAGTTTCATCTTTAGAAATTGGGGTGCTGATAGCTATCTTACTTATTTCTTACTGTGTAAATGATTAGCACCTATTACTCGTTGTGTATATGACTAGCACATATACATAAAATCACCAGCATATTTTATAATGATAGTGGATATAAAGTGACGAGCACCTTTTAAATTGTGTTGCCACACTTTATCTTTGCCTTAAGCCAGTTCAGAGAAACCTGCATTTCCTAAAACTTTGCTTTTGTATTCAATCTAGCACAAAAAACAAAAACAAAAAAACCCTAATAACCTTAATAATTTCCTTTTCACCAAGAGCAATTTTTTCATTTTTTATCTTTTCAAGAAGAAACTGACACAATTTGCAATTAAAATTATATATACTGGGTTAAATATGTGTTGGGGATTAAGGAGCGCGCTTGTGATGAGCACCGGGTATTACATGTAAGAGCTGAATCACTAAATTGTATGCCTGAAATTAACATTACACTGTATGTTAACTGGAATTTAAATAAAAACAAAAAATTATATAAAAAACAGATTAAAATAAGGAAAAAATTACTGGGTGATCACAGTCTCCTTTAAAAAGTTAGAGTATTGGCTTTTAATTTTACTTTATTATTATTTTCCTATATGCTAGTTTACTATGCTATCTCTACTACAAACTCTTATTCTGAAAACAAGAAGGAAGGACACTAAAGAATATAAAATACTTTTAAAGAAATAAGAGACCTGATAAGAACTATCCTGCTAGGACAAGGACAAGCAAAATAATATTCTCAACTATTTTGCTTTACTTCTTGAACTCTTCCCATTACTTGTCAATAAAGTTGCTTATGTATACACTGTTATTTTCTTCTAAGGCACAGATTAATAAATCTGAATGTTCAAGAAAGAGCTTCTGAACCCACTGCATAACACAAACAAAAACACATTTTTTCAAGAATTTTTCTTCACATATAATAGCTACCCTTGTAGTGAGCAAAGCATAACGTACATACTTAACAAATCTCTATGTTGCACACGAGAAACTAATACATTGTGTGTCAATTGCACTAAGTAAAAAAATAAATTTGAAAATGTTTTCCCATGGTTTTGCATTTATATTTAATTTTGTTAATTTATAGCAAAATATCTTTGGTCTAGGAACTCCTATTTTTTCTAGCTCTCAAATCTCAGGTGTTTATATCATCATTCAAAACCAATACATATCTAATTTATAAATTTGTATTGAAGAAAATGAATTGCTATAACTAAAGTTACCTTTAGTAAGGCAAAAGGTCTAAGCAAAGAAACAGGGCATAGAAATTTTTTTAAAATAATATATACAAATGAAGTAAACAACAATATAAAAGATAATCTTACAGCAAAGATCACTGTTTTTCTGTCTTCTACTGTTTTCTCTATTTCAGTAATTTCCTTACCTGTAGATGTTCTTGGAGTTTAGAACTTGTCTTTTGTCCACCCGAATCTGTAACTACTGATTTCTTTGTTCCTCTCTCCAATGGCATATCTTTTGAATCTTCAACTTTTATTTTACTAATACCCATTTCCATTTTTGTCTTGGTCTTCCCTTCACTTTTAAGTGAGTCTTTCCCTTGATTTAGGAAATAGTCAAGTTGAAGTTTAGCTCTTTCAGCTTCCTATTTTTAAAAAAGTAATGATTTATCAAGATTTATGTGGTTTTTTTTGTCAATATTACAACTTTCAAGAACAAGAATATGTTCATGTCCACATTACTTCTCAACTTTATTTTTACTAAATTGGAGGAAGCTAAATTAAACCACTGATATAATCCAAAGTTTAATCCATAGATTAAAATTAAAAACAGTGAAGAAATGCCTTCCACTTTGAGGGCTATTTTTATATCCCAGGAATATCCCCTATTATTTTTTTAAAGCTCTAATTATTATAGATGCATAATAAAAGTGAATAAAAGATATACGCCAGAAAAGGGGATAGAATGCAACCAGGGTAATTAATATGTATAATATCAAATAATAAAAGAAAATGTGGAAAATAATTTATTTCTCCAGAATATAAGGTCTTTAAATGCCACTTTTAATAATTTTTTATTTAGATCAACAAAAATAAAGTTCACAAATAATCTCACCACAAACAGAAAACTCACTGTTAACATTTGATATATATCTTTTCTCATTATTTCTAAATATAATCAGTGCATATATGTATTTTTAAAATTTTTATCTATACTATCCTACTATACATACATGATATGCTTTTTATTAAATAAAGTCATAGATATGTTCCAATAACAATAAATGTACATCTAAATCCAAATAGCTAATAGAAGTACATTTAACAGTATACTTTTATTTTGCAAATTTCCTACGAGGGACATATTGGTAATTTTAAAATATTGGTATTAAAATTTTTTATATTATACATACCTGTACAAAATCTCTGTACATTCTTTTCTTCTTTATGATAAACTTTAGTAACTGCAATGATTCACTGAAAAACCTATGTTGTCCCAAAACTTTTGCTATATATTTTCTAGGGAAGTATTAGTTCATGGTAATAGAATTATATAAAAGATTACTTATTTCAGCATATAGCCACAAATATTAGATATTTCTGTTCCAAAAATTTTTACTGAAATGGCAGGTAAAAAAAAGAAAATCTATTGCACTGTTATTTTAAAGTTGCATTTATCTGATAACTAGTGAGGCTGAATATATTCATATGCATTTATTGCCCTTATGTGTTTCTAAGTTATGACCTGCCTGTTTGTATCTATTTGGGGGAATATTTGGTGGAAGGGCATTCATATTTCTTATAGATTTGTAGAAGATCTTCATATAAAACATTCTGTTAAGAATTTGCATTTATCGGGACGCCTGGGTGGCTCAGTTGGTTAAGCAGCTGCCTTCGGCTCAGGTCATGATCCCAGCGTCCTGGGATCGAGTCCCACATTGGGCTCCTTGCTCGTCAGGGAGCCTGCTTCTCCCTCTGCCTCTGCCTGCCATTCTGTCTGCCTGTGCTCACTCTCTCTCCCTCTCTCTGACAAATAAATAAATAAAATCTTAAAAAAAAAAAAAAGAATTTGCATTTATCTTTATATCTCACAAATCTTTTATCATACAAAAGTTTTAAATTAATAATAGCCAAATATAATGCAATATTCCTTTGCAGTATGATGCTTAGAAAATCTTGCTCTAGCCAAGACCATGACTGTTACCCAGAGTTTCTTCTATAACATTTTCTTACTCCATTTATTAATTTTGGATCTTAAATCATTCTGCAACTTACTTTGATATATGTCACAAACTACTGCATGAGAACTACTTATTCATAGTAGTTTATTTTTTGTGACTGTTTGTCTTTCTATAAAAAAGTTTCAACAACTAAAACTATAATATACTAAATTATTACATTCCTTTGAATCTGTATCGGATTTTTTATTCAGCACTAAGTCCAGAACCACATTGCTTTAGTTATTATAGTGTAACATTACACATTATCTTTGAACCACCAAATCCTTATCATTCTTTTGTATTGTAACCAGTTTCTTATCTCAATATATCTTTTGTCTTCCTGATAATTCTGTCAAACTCAAAAATAATTCTGTTTATATCCAGAAATAAACTCCCTTAAATCTATATATCAATTTGGAAGATAATGAAAACTGAAATATTTATAATACTGAACCTTCAAAACCAAAAATATAAATTTCTATTTCTTCACTATTCATCTACATCCCTCAGTAAACTATGTTTTTCTTCATTAAAAAAACTGTATTTTTTGTTAAATATGCTACTCTAGCATTATAAATAGAATCATCCCTACACACAAAAAATGTTCAATATTGCTTGACATCAGGGAAAAACAAATCAAAACCACAAAGAGATACCACCTCACACCAGGCAGAATTGTTAAAATTAACAAGTCAGGAAACAAGAAATGTTAGCAAGGATACCGAGAAAGGGGAACTGTCTTACACTGTTAGTGGGAATGCAAGGTGGTGCAGCCTCTCTGGAAAACAGTATGGAGTTTCCTCAAAAAGTTAAAAAAAAAAAAAAAAAAAAAGAGCTACTCTAAAATCCAGCAATTGCACTACTAGGTATTTACCCAAAGGATACAAATGTAGTGATCCGAAGAGGCACCTGCACCCCAATGTTTATAGCATCAATGTCCACAACCCAAACTATGAAAAGAACCCAGATGTCCATTGACAGATGAGTGGGTAAGAGTATGTAGTATATATAGACAATGGAATATTGCCTAGCCATCAAAAAGGATGAAATCATACCATTTACAATGACATGGATGGAACTGGACGGTATTATGCTAAGTGAAATAAGTCAATCAGAGAAAGACAATTATCATATGGTTTCACTCATATATCACAGAGGAAGGGAGGGAAAAATAAAATAAAATAAAGAGACAAACCATAAGAGACTATGGGAAAAAACTGATGGTTGTTGGAAGGGAGGTGGGTGGGGAGATGGGGTAAATGGGTGATAGGCATTAAGGAGGGCACTTGATGTAATGAGCACTGGGTGTTATATGCAACAGATGAATAATTAAACTCTACATTAATTAAATAATTAAACTCTACATTGAAACTAATGGTATACTATATATTAACTAAATGAATTTAAATAAAATAAGTAAAATAAATAAGTAAATAAATAGAATCACCTCCATTATGGTTTCTAAATGGTTGTTTTGGATAAAAAAGGAAACCTATTGCTTTTTTTTTCCTTTTCCTTTCTTTAAATTTTAACTCCAGTGTAGTTAATATACAGTGTTACAAAATGGTGATATACCATATATTACTCAGTGCCCATCAAGATAAGTGCATTCTTTTCTTAAATTTTAATTTGCATTTTTTTTACATTATGTTAGTCACCATACAGCACATCATTAGTTTTTGATGTAGTGTTCTATGATTCATGTTTGCCTATAACACCCTGTGCTCCATAGAATCCATGCCCTCCATTAAGGAGGCTCACCAGGCTCACCCACCCCCCTCCCCTCTAAAACCCTCAGTTTGTTTCCCAGAGTCCATTATTTCCCAGAGTCCATAATCTCTCATGGTTCATCTCCTACTCTGATTTCTCCCCCTTCATTTTTCCCTTCCTTCTCCTAATGCCCTCCATGCTATTCCTTATGTTTCACAAATAAGTGAAATCATACGATAATTTACTTTCTCGGTTTAACTTATTTCACTTAGCATAATCTCCTCCAGTCCCATCCATGTTGATGCAAATTTGGGTATTCATTCTTTTTGATGGCTGAGTAATACTCCACTGTGTATATGGATCTCATCTTCTTTATCCATTTGTCTGTTGAAGGGCATGTCAGCTCTTTCCATAGCTTGGCTATTGTGGGTATTGCTGCTATGAACATTGGGATACATATGGCCCATCTTAAGATAAGTGTACTATTAATCCCCTTCAACTATTTCACCCATCTTCCCACCTACCTCACCTCTGGTAACCAACTGTTTGCTCTCTAAAGGTAAGAGTCTGTTTCTTGGTTTGTCTCTCTCTCTTTCTCTTTTTTTCTTTTTTTAAAGATTGATTTGAGAGAGCACAAGTGGAGGGAAGAGGCAAAGGGAGAGGGAGAAGCAGGCTCCCCACTGAGTAGAGCCTGACATGGGTCTGAACACAGAGTCCTGGGATGAGGACCTGAGCTGAAGGCTCCTACTTAACTGACTGAGCCACCCAGATGTCCCTGTTTGTTTTGTTTCTTAAATTCCACCTGTGAGTGAAATCATACAGTAACTCTGACTGCCTTATTTTGCTTAGCATTAGATTCTCTATATCCATCCACATTGTTGTAAATGGAAATATTTTGTTCTTTTTTATGGCTGAATAATATATTATATATATATTTATACATAACATATATGTAACATATATGTGTAATATATACACATATATGTAACATACATATATACATAACATATATTACATAATATATACATATATGTAACACATATGAATATATATGTATATATATGTTATATAATATGTTATATATGTATACATATTATATATGTTATATTATATATATATAGATAGATATAGCTATCTGTAGATATATCTATCTGTAGATATATCTCTCGCTATATATAACATCTTCTTTATCAATGGACATTTGGGATGCTTCCATAGTTTGGCTATTATAAATAATGCTACAATAAACATAGAGGTTCTCATATCCCTTTGAATTCCTGTTTTTGTATTCTTTGGTTAAAATACCCAGTAGTGTGATTCCTGGATCATACAGTAGTTCTATTTTTAATATTTTGAGGAACAGCAATACTGTCTTCCACAGTGGCTGCACCAGTTTGCATTCCCATCAACAGTGAGGGCACCAGGGTTCCATTTTCTACACATCTTCACCAATATTTGATGTATCTTGAGGTTTTGATTTTAGCCATTCTGACAGGGGTGAGGTGATATCTCATTGTGATTCTGATTTGCATTTCCCTGATGATGGGTAATGTTGAATATGTTCTAATGTGTCTGTTGGCGATCTACATGTCTTCTATAGAGAAATGACTGTTCATGTCTCCTGCCCATTTTAATTTTTTTTATTTAACCTCAATTAGCCAAGGTATAGTACATCATTAGTTTTTGATATAATGTTCAATGATTCATTAGTTGAA